CCCGGCATCCATGCATTCCACACCTGAACGGACCACCGCGTGCAGGGGCCAGGTCGCGTGCAGAAGCACATGCCCCTCCTGGAAAGGGGGGTGCAGAAATGGAAGCGCACGTGGACTTTCCTCTGCACAGACAGCACCCACATGCTCGCCTGGAGGCTCTCTCACAGACAGCCACTGCTACCTCACACGGTGCAGGAGATCACTTGATGGTGGGGGAGGAAAGACTCAAGTAAGCAGATGACCCCACTCACCCCTACCTTGAACTCATTGGCCTGCAGATCCAGGGAACGATGCTTGGGTGGAAAAAAATCACTAATCTCCTCCTGGTTATTTTGAGGGAGGAGCCTTCTGGTTCCTGGCAGAGAGAGAAGCCATCTCCAGCCCCGTGAGTGCGAGCGAGGGCGGCCGGGGGCAGGGGCGTCCTAGGGGCCAGGCCGGAGTGGAACGAACCGGGAGGTGCTGGCCACCGTCCTCTGCGCCCGCCTGTCCCGCTGCCCGCGCCCCAGAAGACGATGTCTCCTTGCAGGAAGCCGGGAAGCCCTTCAAGTGTCTTTTCTTATTACAAAGGTATTTTAAAAGTATGAAAAACAAAAAGGGCTAATAATTTCTCCATCCAGTGGTGATCACTCTTAATGTTCGCAAGGACCTGTCCCTAGGTGGCTGTGGGCACGCGGGGTGGGAGCGCATCTCCCGTAAACCGGAGTCCAGGTGTCACGTGTGCCTCCTCGTCGTCACGTCCGAGCGAGAGGTCTGGCCGCCTTGGTGCCAGGGGCTCTGGGGCCTCACAGTCTCCTGGGCACCGGGGAGGCATAGCCGAGTCACGCTGGATGCTGAGGCAGCATCCTGGGGGGAGAGGTCGTGGGCGTCTCTGCCTGCGGAAGGCTGAGGGAGCACGGAGAAGAATGTCGGGGGGGAGCGACCAGCCAGGTGGGGACAAGGGGTGCAACAGAGGTGAAGGGGCGGTGGGGACGAAACCCAGAGTGAAGAACTCCTAAAAGATGAGCAGTTTCTACATCTCCAGTCTGCCCCTGGGACGGGTGGGACAACGTGGTCCCCCCTCAGGCCGTTGGTCCCTGCCTCTCCCACTGGAGAGGACGGTGCACGCAGAGAAGGGCGAGTGAGGGGGTGAAGACGCTGCTCCCCCTTTCCTCCTCCAGGACCCAGGGAGCTGCCCTTGGCGAGAGCCCCTGCTCACCTGCTTCGTGCGGCTCTGACCGGGCCAGCCCCTCCTCCAGCGCCCTCCAGGATTGGCTTTATGGGCTGGGAGCTCCTTTCCTGAGCCTGCCTCTGCTTATCGGTTCATCTACAACCCCCACCTCAACCTTATCGCTCCTCCATCTCCTTAGACTGGAAGTCCCAAGGCTCAAGAGGCTATTACCACCTCAACCCCCAGCAAAGCAGAAAAATGTCCCGCAAGGTGACCCCCTTCCCCACCCCAGCCGGCGCCTCCCTCTCCCAGGGCGAGAGAGCAGCTTCCTCCGTGTCTCCGGCATCCACTTACTCTTCCTTGCCTGATTTACTTTCCTTTCGGTCCTTGTCCTTCTGAAAAAGTTTTTTTGTCTATCCTTCCACCTCAAGGAGAAAACGCTCTTTCTTACAGTGGAGGAAGGGGCCTTGCCCTGCTCCTGGAGACCCCCAATGGGGACGCCCCACCTACTTCACCCAGGCCACAGATTCCCAAGAGGCGGCAATGTCTGGCACGTGATTGGGAGATAAGATTTCAACTTTAAAGCCACTTCCAGTTTTGCCACTAGCCATGGGTCTTCTCCCTGTCTGGGCTCCATCTTCTTACTGAGGAAATAATGAGAACCCAGCCCTATTGTCATGTACTTCTTCGGGCTATTGAATGACTACACCTCTTTGAAAACAATCGGGAGGAGAAATAACATACCATAAAATAGCACGATGCTGTCCTGGCTTTGCTCCTCCCTCCCGCTCTCTCATTCCTGGAGAGGTACCCAAGTGTGAGACCCGGGCATCCCCTCCTTTCCTGCTCTTCAGACTCTGCAGGAATACGGGGCCCTCTGGGGGGGAGTCTCCTCTGACCAGGGGCTCCAGCGAGGCACTGGTGGTCTTCTTCTCATGGAGGAGGGGTGGCCTGGAACCCTCCTGTGAGAGAGATGACAGCATCTCTGAGAAGCAGCCCCAGGGACTTCTGAGCCCATCTCAGGGAGGGAAACCAACGGTGGCCGAGTGCTTAGGGACATGCTCACCGACGCTTCCATGCGAGCAGGGGCCCCGTTTCACAGATGAGCATACCGAGGCACAGAGAGCTCTCCTCACTGATCTGTAAGGTCTGAGCCGGGACTCCAGCCGGCCTGTGCCTGACTGCCCAGCTGGAGGACTTCGCTTCCTGCTCTTCTGCATCCCACTGACCTGCCCCCCGCCCCCCGCCCTTGCCTTGCTTGTGGGACCCACCTTTCAGGTCTCTTTCCAGATTGCTCTGCTCCACCCCCCGCCTGCTGGGGTCTCAGCCCCAGCCCACTGCCAGGAACAAAGTCCCCTCCCCTGCTCCCTCCTGGCTCTAGGGCAGGCTCTGAGCCCCAGAGGTTGGCTCTGGAAAGAGCTCCACCCCCTCCAGGTAAATCTGCTCTCTCCTGTTAGGGCCTCCAGTCCCCTCAGTGCACGTGTGCACACACACACCCTGCAGCTGCTCATTCCACGCCGAGCACACCAGCCACAGGACAGGGACACCGGCTCCTACTCCCAACCCCAAACCAACCCGCCTCTTCCTCAGTAGCCGCTGAGTCCTGGACCTGCTGCTTTCACGTCCCCATAACCTGCTAGTGCCTGGAAGGGGACGACATGAGGGCTCCTTCGCCCAAGGCGAAAGGGCTCTGGGCCCAGCTCCAGAAACTTCTGACCTCCTGGCTGTTTGGAGACAAAGACTGGGAGCAGCGTCTGGACGAGGCCCACATGCTGCAGCAGAAGAGGTAGGCTGCCCCACCGTGCGTGTCCGACCCGTCGCCGCCCCACAGACCCTCCTCCCGCTTGGGTCCATCGTCAGGATTCGGCGCCAGGCGCTTAGACGTGCCCTTCGCCCTCAACCCACCCCTTACGCTCACGAAAGCCCAGCTGTGTGGGGGTGGCATCGGGCCATGCAGGGGGACCTCGAATGTGGATGCTGTAGATTCATAGGCAGGACGCCCGCCGGCCTGCCTGGTGGAAAAGTGGGGTGGGGACCAGGGGGACCAGATGGAAGAAGCTGGGGTGTATGGGGCTGGGGGGCGTGCAGCCAGATGCAGGCCGGTGGGGGAGAGATGGGACCCTGTGGGTTTTAGACTTGGTTGAAGAAAGGGGGAGGGATTACCTTTAAAATGAATGGCAGTTGATTGTGTGGGAAAGGGCAGGGGAGCTCTGTTCTGTGTTCCGCCTGCAGCTGACCAGCTGCGGAGGGAACCCCAGGTGACACCGCAGAGTCCTCAGCTCCGTCCTCTGCCTTTGAGTGAGTCTGCTGTGAGCAGCGGTGTGCTGGGAACTGAGCATACGGGGTTGAATAAGCCTGTGTCTGCTCCTGGGACACTCAGCTCGGGTGGGGCCGGTCTACCTGGGGGCAGGTCATTTCATGGGCAGCCGGCTCTGAGGTCCACACCCTGGAAGCGCACCCAGGGGAGGGACCTATCCTAAGGCCGGCCTCTGCCTCGGAGCACGGGGGCCTGCCTCCCATCGGGGAAGCAAGGCAGGCAGCAGATCCTGGTTCCGAAGGGCTGCTGTCACTGGCAGGTGGCCTCTACTGCACCCGGCCCCGCACTTCAGGAGAGCCCCGCACTCTGTTAAATGCACTGCCGTCATTGTCTTGAAATTCTTAATAAGTTTTAAACAAGGGGTTCTGCATTTTCATTTTGCCCTGGGCCCTGCAAATTGTGCAGCGGGCTGTGGGTGCAAGTTCGAGCCCTCATTCCAGAAAGGCCCTCTGCTTGCTCATCGACCCCCACCCCAGGCCCTGTGCTGGAACCTTTGGCCTCCCCACCTCTGTCCCTGCTGTAGAGGGGGATTAGGGCTGTTTCTGAGAGATAGCTGGGTTCCAGACCCTTCTGCAGAGGCCCAGGGCTATAGGCTGTGGGCAGGGTGCTCAGCACAGGGATGAACCCCGGAAGCCTAGCCCTAGCAGCCCTGAGCGGGGTGCACTTGGAAGGAGGGTCTAGGCGAGATGGGGCGGGGGCTGGACCCTCCTGCGAGCTCTGCCCTAGAGGGCAGACTGGAGCTGCACCTTGAGATAAAAGCTGCTTCTTTAAATAAAACACTTTTCCAGTGGCTCATGGGGGCCATGGGAAGAGAGGAATTTGGGGCTGGGGGACATTACGGTCATTTGTCATTTGTCGGTTTGTTTGTCGGCCTATCATCTCCCTCATGACCTTTGACCTGCCAGACCCTGTGGTCACCTTCACAGCCAGCAAATACTTGCCCAGCAGGACCAGCTTCAGCTTCATCGTGTGTTTGGTTCATCCAGGCAGGAGAAAAGTGAAGATTAACCCACCGAGGGGCCTGGGACAGGCTTCTCCACAGGGCTCCCAGCTCCTGGTTGCTTATCTCAGAGAAGCCCCAGGCTGCTCCTCCTCAGTGATCACCCGGGTGTTTAGCCTTGAGTCTGAGGGCAAAACGCAGAGGGAAGAGATGGATCTTCCATACCCCACTCAACTCTCCCTGCCTCCCGGCAGGATGTGTATCTAAGCAGCCTGGAGGGGTGATCAGAGCAGCAACTCACAGGCATCAGGCTCTAACACCTGGCCCAGCTGCCCCTCGAGCCCACTTCTGATCCCGCCACTTGGCGAAAGAGCCGGTTGAGCAGGCCGAGGTGTCAGCAGGAGCAGACGTTCCATCCTCCCCACCTGCTCTGGCTCCCCAGTGCCCGAAACATTGAGTAAGCTTAGGTTGAGTCAGCCAGGCCCGAAGGCCTCCTCTCCGGACACCCGGGACCACCCATTCCCCAGCGCAGGCCCTCCCCCTGGGGCACTTCAGCCCTCTGCTGAGTCCCCCGCCCAGCTGAACCCCGACACCCCCACACGGGGAGAGCTAGCGTGATGGAACCGCTCCGGTCTTGGCCTCTCTGCGATTCGTCTCTGCCTGACCCACGTTCATCTTCTTCCAGGATCCGAGAGTCTCCGCTGCTCTGGGCAGCCAAGGGGAATGACTTGTGTCTCCTGAAAAAAATCCTGCTGGACCAAACCTCCGACTTTCAACAAAGAGGTGGGCTCAGAGTTTAATGGGCCGGAGATGGCTCCCTCCGCCCAGGACTCCGAGGGTTTCTGCGGAGGGGCCTCTTCCCAGAGGGGCCCTGGGAAGTGTTTGACGCCCCTGCCTCTCTCTGCTCCAGGAGCCCTGGGGGAGACAGCGCTGCACGTGGCGGCCCTCTATGACAATCTCGAAGCAGCCATGGTGCTGATGGAGGCCGCCCCCGAGCTGGTCAAGGAGCCCACCACGTGTGAGCCATTTGTAGGTGAGGAGCCTGCATAGCTTTTCAAGGTGGAAAGAAGTTGGGGGGATCTGATGTCATCTTTGAAATGGGGCCTCTGAGTTTGGAGGAACACAAAGGTCCTCCTGGTCTTGGCTTTGAGTATCCTTGGCTTCTTCAAGTGAGTTATCATTTCCTTTCAACTCTTTTCATGTTCCTTAAAGGACAGGATGCTATTTCTTTCACAGCAGCACTAGAGTGATTATAATTACAGCTCACCCCCAATCATCCAGAGGCAGGGACAGTGAAATAGACAGCCTGAGGGACCCTTGGCCTCAACCCCAGGCCACTCCGCTGAGCTAAGGGCAGAAATCTGTTCAAGGATAGTCAGGGATCTACTGCAAACCAGGGGGACGGTATGTCTCTGAAAGAGAGGGCAGACCCCACCACTGAGAACCGTCCCCCAACCAGGTCAGACCGCACTGCACGTGGCCATCCTGAACCAGAACGTGAACTTGGTGCGCGCCCTGCTCTCCCACGGGGCCAGCGTCTCTGCCAGAGCTACAGGCACAGCTTTCCACCTCAGCCCCCACAATCACATCTACTTCGGTGAGAGCCAGGGCCAGGGCCAGGGCCGGGGGGCAGGGGAGCTGGGCAGGGGCGAGCGCGAAGGCAGGGAGGGCTGAGGAGGGCTCCAGGCCCCGGGAAGCTGGTGGGGGTGGGGGGTCGGCCCTCAGAGGGCTTGAGGCCAGAGCCCACTTCCCTGCCGCCCTCTGCACCGTCCCCGCCTCTGGTTCTGCTGACAAGTGTCCCCAAGCCCAGAGCTGAGCCGTGGGGAGGAGCAGGCCGGCACCTGGGGAGGCTGCCCATGCCGGCCGCACTCAGGCCACGGAGCCCTCTGCATCCCCAGGGGAGCACCCTCTGTCCTTTGCCGCCTGCGTGGGCAGCGAGGAGATCGTGCGGCTGCTCATCGAGCACGGAGCCGACATCCGGGCCCAGGACTCCCTGGGTGAGTGCTGGGGGAGGGGCGCTGGGGCGGGAGGTGGGGGGCCGGGGCAACCATCAGGCCTACCCCGCAGTGGGCGTGGGAACACCTGGGACTGGGTCCGGTGGCCACGTGACACCCATGTCCTCCCCCAGGAAACACAGTGTTGCACGTCCTGGTCTTCCAGCCCAACAGAACCTTTGCCTGCCAGATGTACAACCTGCTGCTGTCCTATGACAGACGTGGGGACCACCCGCAGTCGCTGGACCTTGTGCCCAATCGCCAGGGCCTCACCCCCTTCAAGCTGGCCGGAGTGGAGGGCAACGCGGTGGTGAGCGACGCGCCCCAGCCCCGTGGTGCCCTCATAACGCCTCCCAAGCTCCCCAGAAGGGTGGTGGTCATTTCCCCACCCCCCCGATTCTGCACGAGAACCCTCGGCCTCGGGATCCCTGACTCCTGAGGACCTTACACTCCTCCCTTGGAGCAGCCGCAGGGACCCAGAATGCCCCTCTCTGCCTGTCCTCTTCTCTCAGGTCTTTATAGGGTTTGTGGGGAGAAAAGAACCAAAACGTAACAAGGGGGTTCACGTCCTCAAGGGCTTGGCAACTCCTGACTGTCGGGCGGTCCCCAGGGGTGGTCAGTAGTGGCGTGCCCCCGGCCTGGCTTGTCGCACGCTGACCTTCCTTCTCACCGCTTGTTCTCGAAGATGTTCCAGCACCTGATGCAGAAGCGGAAGCACATCCAGTGGACCTGCGGGCCGCTGACCTCCACCCTCTATGACCTCACGGAGATCGACTCTTGGGGAGAGAAGGTGTCCTTCCTAGAGCTCGTGGTCTCCTCCAAGAAGCGGGAGGTACGGGTGCCGGGAGTATCTGGGACTGTCGCGTGCCAGCGAAGAGCCTGTTTGCGGAGCTCCTCAGCTCCAGACACTTTCCTGCCTTGTCGTAGATGGAGATGAGCGCGCCGGGACCTTCGGGAGCAAAGTCCAGTCGACACCTCTTTGCACTGTCCCACTGCCTGGCTTCGTCCCTGTCCCTTTCCTTGCTCACATTCACATTTCCGATGGAGAACTCTTCAAATAGAAGTTGCTTCCTTCCCTCCTTCCTTCCTTCCTTCCTTCCTCTCATCCAAATTCCTTTTCCTTCCTTCCTTCCTTCCTTCCTTCCTTCCTTCGGCACATTGAACACCTGCATCCCAGATGCTACACGAGGAACTGAATACAGAAATAAATAAGACAGTTTCCGCCAGTCAGCTTCCTCAATTACCAGTCCCTTTTCCAGTAACCGCAATAGAGTACAAGGTTTACTATCGCCGAGGTTGGTTCGTGCCATGCACAGCGGCAGCAGAATTGAGGGCAGGTTAACGTGGCTCAGACGGACCAGAGATGTCACAGAAGTGCTTGAGCTGGGTCTTCCAGGGGGAGCTAGAACCACCAGGAAGAGGATCAAAAAGAGCTTTCCAGAGCGGGAAAACCACGACGTCATTCAGACAGGACTGAACTGAGGCATCTGAGGGAGAGGAAAGTCTGTCGAAGACTGGCAGAGGACAGAAAATGCTTCAGGACCCGCCAAGATAGTGGCAAGATAGAGTTTCTGTTGCTTATCTGCCGCTCTCGGCAATTTCCCCGGGAACCTTCTAGAGCCATAAAACTCAGATGACTATTACTGCTAATGAATAGAGGAAACATCGAGTGACCAGTTTGTATACACTTCCTCAGACACTATTCCTAGAAACAGATAAGGGGCGAGCAGGATTTCTTAGGAAGCCGAGCTCCAGACAGACCTTTGGTCTCTGATTTCGGCTGGCTCTCAGCGTCCTCGTACAGGTTTCATTCTGGGTCCGCTGGTTTTCTGGTCCCTCCAAATTTCTTTCCAGCTCCCTCTGTACCCCGCACTGCCTGCTCCCTCACGTCCGTCAGAAGACCCGGACCCCTGCCTTGCGGCTGGAGCTGCTTAGCCGTCCTGTCCTGTCCGGCCAGGTGTAACTGTGCCGTCCTGTCCTGTCCGGCCAGGTGTAACTGTGCTGTCTCTCTCCGCCCCTCTAGGTCCAATGGACAAGATACTCTCTCTGCTGGCGGTTAATCCCTGCGGCTGTGCTTTGAATTTGCCTTTTCCCACTTTCTCAGATGCCTCGTGCCGACCATGGCCCTCTCTCTCTCATTTGTATCTCTCGCCTTCCCCCAGAGCACCAGCCCACCTGGCTTGGGGTACTGCCACATCCTACTGCCCTGCCCGTGTCTTTTATCACTCTTCCCCAGCCCAGGAGACTTCTAGAGCGAATCTGACATCTTCCTTGCTTGACCCTCCAATTGCTTCCCATTGCACTTAGAAAAAAAAAAAAAAAATGTGGACTCCGTGCCTTATTAGCATTCCTGACCTGGGATGATCTGGGCGTTATCAACATCACCCATTCTAACCGCCCGCCGCTCCCAGCAGGATCTCTCCTGTCCCACCCGCCCACTTCTGCACACGGCTTCTCGTACCTTCCTGCCGCTGCTTGAGGAATGGTCTCGCTAGCTCTGCCTTCACTCACCTATCTACTCACTGCCCTTCCTTCCTTCAGAGCCTCGCCGGTGCTCTCACGTCTCGTGTTCACTTCCCTAACGGTTTATCTGCAGCGGTGGCACGAGGCCTAGCATATTGCAGAAATTACTAGTTAAAAATTGTCTGTTAAAAAAAAAAAAAAAAAAAGACTGACTCCCCGAATGAATGATGCTAGTGCTGATGGCCGCCCTGCCCTGCCCACCTGGGACCCAGCGGGAAACCCGGCACTCCTCACCACGTTGGTCACCCCGGGCCACTTTCTCCTTCCTTGGCAGGCTCGTCAGATCCTGGAGCAGACCCCGGTGAAGCAGCTGGTGAGCTTCAAGTGGAGAAAGTATGGGCGGCCGTACTTCTGCGTCCTGGGCGCCTTGTATGTGCTCTACATGAGCTGCTTCACCATGTGCTGCGTCTACCGCCCCCTAAAGTTCCGCAGTGGCAATCGCACCGACTCCCGAGACATCACCCTCCTGGAACAGAAGCTGCTGCAGGTGATTCCTGGGAAGGGGTGGGAGGGAATGTAGACATGGTGCCGGAGACCGGAGTAACCCCACCTGGGAAAGACACCTCTCACTGGGCTCCAACAGCTGCAAGGCCTGACCACCCAGGCAGAAATCAGACGTGGGACCAGAGGGCCAGAGAGGAGGCCAAATGAGTAAAAACGTGTACTTGTCCGGGAAGCCACAGCTTCTCATGTCGACTTGGAGTGAACGCTCACTGTTAGGCTGAGCACTTGTAAAATTCCTCTCAGTGTCGAGAGAAGACTCGCCTTTCGGAATGTGAACGTTCGTGGAGACCCTGTGGTTCTAAAAGAAGGGAAGTTGTGCCCCGAGGTAACTTCCTTCTGTTAGGGCCATGGCCCTTCTGGCTTGCCTTCCCTCTTTGTACGGTCAATACGAGCACATTGGCAACGTGTCAGCTGTCTGACCCCCTGTCAGAGGTGCCGCAGAAGGACGCCCGCATTGCACAGCAGCTGAGCAAATAATCTCTGAGGTCTTGCCATCCTATAGTGTCCTTCAGAGACCTGGGCGGCGAGGAAGGCTTAGTGGACGCGGGGAGGAAGCGTGAGAGCCTGCTGAAGGAGCAGCCCCTTTTTCGCGTGAAACAGAATGAGTAGACTCTAATGGGTACTTCTGAGCATGTACGTTCACCAGGCATAGGTACAGTGGGTTGGTGTATTGTTCATAGGCCTTTTTTTTTGTCCTGGTGACCTGAAAATAGCATAAGGGTGTTCAGGCCCATGGGCAGAAAGTGAAAGACGGACGAAGAAGAATTTCGCCAGGCAAGGAAGAGATAGATAACTGGACATCTCTACTCTGTGCAGGGTGGGCCAGCCGCGGGCAGAGCTCGGCCTGGAGTAGGGTCAGAAAGAGGACGTGGACTGCCTGCCTAGTCAAGGAGCAAAGTTAGACCAAAGATGGTGGTCACCGAGGGAGAACAGGGCAAAGTGCCTCACTCAACCCCAAAGCAGGTCGAGACGCTCCATCTGTCCTGCTTCTGTGACCGCCTCTCAGTGTACAGACAGGTGCTCGTGTACCCAGAGCCGCCGTCTCTCACGGAGCAGGATTCGCTGCCTTGGCAGAGGTGGTCACAGGGCGGTCAGGGGAGGCTGCGTCCCATGCATCTCAGACTGGGCTCAAAGGTTGCCCCTGATGTGGAGACCACACAAGGAAAAACACAGGCATCTAGGAGATGGCCGAGTGACTAGAAAGGGGAAAAGGGATAAGCGTCAATGCGTTGGGGGTGGCTGGGCTTTTCCGCCA